TGCATCAGAAAGCAAAAAGTTTTAAAAAGTTGGTAGATTTAAACTCAATTATACCAATTATATCATTAACTACAAATAAATTAGACAGTTCAATTAAAAGTCAGAGATTTTTACAATGGATGAAGAAGCAAGACCTAAAAGTGTGTCATACTAAATGAAAAAACAAAGCCAGGATGATCTGTCAAGAAACATTCTGTAGATCTACACCATATAACAATGACGACAAAACTGTGAGGAAGAGCAGATAAGTGTGCTTTCAATTTTATTCAGAGGACCTTAATCCCTTTGACTCTGAAAATCGTTTTCACTTCAGAATTACCTACCTCCTACATTCTTAGAGACCAAGTCAACAAAAAATGAAGGCTGTACTAAGCATCCAGACTCCTGAGGAGCAGTGATTTTCTCAATCTTTCCTGTGAGTCTCTCTTGGATGCCTATGGATGTAGTCTATAGCTTCTAATTCATCAGCATGGATATTCTATGAAATATCTTTCCAAAGTATCTTATACATCCTCAGTTACCTGGGTTTCTTCATTGTGTCTTTTTTCTACATTATCATTTCACCCCCCCCCCCTTACTTTGAACATAACAGAAGATGTTTAAAGCGAGTGTTTAAAGTCGTAATAGTAACCATGTGTTGATATTTATTGCATATGCAGAAGTGAAATGTGTAACAATCGAACAAGTACTGGGGATCAAGATCATATTGTTTTAGTCTTTCACCATACATGAAGTGACATTATTTGAAGGTAGATTCATACTTCAAAATGTAAACCCTATGGTAATGATGAAAAAGGTTTTTAAGAGAAATTTAATAAGTATATACAGGAGATAAAATGATTTTTCAAAAATGCTCAGCAAAATTAGAGAAGGCAAAAAAAAGGAAAAAGAAACATAGAAGAAATGAAACTAATAGAGAACAGCTATCAAGATAGAATATATTTTTTAATAATAATAATTTATTAAGAGTATCCAAGGGCAGCTCATAGAATCCTAGACTAGTTGTGCCATCAAGTGTAATGATATATGATCAAGGATTCACTTGCCTTTGCTGGAAAGATATCTCATACTTTTTTTTTTAATCCATACAATTTTTTTATTTAAATTCTTTATTGTTTAAAATATTACATAAGTCTCCTTTTTCCCCAATTGACCACTCCCCGGCTGCCCCCACCCAAAGGTAGTACACTATACAAACAATACATTATACAAACAATAAATTTAAAGGTGAATGATTTAAAATAATAGTTAAAAATTGACAGACTGGATTTTTTTAAAAAGTAGGACCCAACTATATGAGATTGTATTGATCAGGGAAACAGAAACAATAGGATGGATCATTGGCCACTGACTCCATGATCATGAAGACTACATTCCACAGTCCTCTGTCTGCAAGCTAGAGAACCAGTAAAGATGGTGGTATAATTCAGTTGGAGTCCAAAGTCCTGAGAACCATGGGGACTAATGGTGTAAGTTCCAGCTGGAGTCCAAAGGCCAAAAATTCAAGAGACCAATGGTATACATGTCAGTCCAAACCTGAAGGTTAAGAACCAGGAGCACCAATGTCCAACGGCAGGAGAAGATGGATGTCCCAGCTGAAGCAGAGAACACATTTGTCCTCCCTCTCCCTTTTTGTTCTATTCAGGCTCTCAAATGATCAGATGATATTTATCCACATTGGTGAGAGCAATCTTCTTTAATTAGTCTATTGATTCACATGTTCATTTCTTCTGGAAACACCACACCTAGAAATAATGTTTTACAGCTATCTGGATATCCATTAGCCCAGTCAAAATTAACCATTACAGAGGTCTACAAGAAACCTATTCTAATATTATGATAGTAGACTTCCAGTTTCAGATCCAACGTGTAAAAAATTTGGAAGTTATAACTCATATCCTTAAAAAAAAAAAAAAAAGAAAGAAAGAAAAGATGAGAAAGCTGAAAAGCAATGGCGTTTCTTGGACCCAGCAGAGAACTGAGGCTGCCTGGCAAATTGCCACCCCAAAATCTGGGTAGACAGATCCAGAGTTGAAGCTCAGATCCACTTACCTGAAGCAAAATCCACCAGAGCCATAAACTTAAACGGTAGATTTGACAAAGGTTGAGTGGACTGGCTTGATGAGAAACTTAAGAGTTGCAGTTTTGGAGAGGGGGCACATATTCATGAGTTTTACCTCCAGGAACCCCATCAAATTCTCAGAGAAAAGTTGAAAAAGATCCCCTTCATGGCTCTGGCAGGAAAAAGAGGACTAGAAATCATTGGAAAATGTCCCCAGAGTGTTTTCCATAACACAAGCTCAGTCTCCAGGGGGAAAAAAGACTTTAACAGAGCCCTATTCAGGATCACATAGCATGAGTAGTTTACAGAACCAAAGCACGCATCACCAACTTTGGGGGCTGTGCAGCACAAGTCTAGGTTGAAATCTGAGATGGTCAAGATCACCTGGAGAAAGTGTAGGATGATCATTGTCAGCCCTGGCCAGATTTGCTCAGTGGTCAGAGCATTAACCCACAGACTAAAGGGTTAGATTCCTCATCAAGGGCATGTACCTCGATTGTGGGTTTACTCTCCCCTCCCCAGTTCAGGGCACCCCATTGGGGAGGCAACCAGAACCAGTCCATGTATTTCTCTCACAATGATGTTTCTCTCTCCCCACTCTTTCTCCCTCCCTTTTATTCCCTCTAAAAATCAATGGAAAAGAATATCCTCCAGTGAGGATTTAAAACAAAAAAAGTCATTGTCACACTGTCTTGGGGGAAGTGTTAATTTCTGCTCCCAAAGCTAAAGTTAAAGTGTCTGTGGTTAAATAACCTTTCTTGAGGCTACATAATAAATACTTCTGCTAATGAGTCAGGTAATACATTTAACATAGTAAAGACTCAGAGAAACCTCCAAGTAAAATTGGAAGCTATTACAAGTTTATTCTCAATCTTGTTTGTACATTAGAAAAGCTTATTTGAGTTTTAGTAAATACAACACATGGGTCCCATCCCATACTCAGGATATGAGCGGGGCCAATATCAAGACTCAAAAAAAAAGAACAAAGAATTGGGTACAGTACCAGAAAAATTTTTTTTCTCAGTAAAAAAAAGCAAGTTCTTTGCAATAGTAAGTAGTAAAGGACCCTAATGTGTCACCCCAAAATATGCCTAACATCCTATCTAATAAAAGACAAAAAGGGTAATTGACCATACCTTCGCTATGCTTCCCATTGGCTAATCAGGGCGATATGCAAATTAACCACCAACAAAGATGGTGGCCAGCAGCCACTCAGCTGAAGCGAGCAGGAGGCTTGCTTGCTCCAGTGATGGAGGAAGCCAAGGTTTCCCGCCTGCTGTGGCCCAGCTCTGAGCTCCGAAAGCAACAGTTTCAATTACAGAAGCTAAACAAACCCCAGAAACCTGCTTTCAGCCTGGCCATGGAGCTGGAGCCGGCTCTTAGCTCCAGTGACGGCAACAAAGTTTCAATTATAGAAGGTAAATAAATCCCAGAATTTAAAAAAAAAAAAAAGAAGAAGAAGAAAAGGAGAGGCTGGGAGCTTCAGTCGCCAGCCAGCCTGAAAACGGCCCTCAGCCCCTCACCCAGACTGGCCAGGCACCCCAGTGGGGACCCCCACCCTGAAGGGGGTGTGACCAGCTGCAAACAGCCATCAGCCCCTCACCCAGGCTGGCCAGACACCCCAGCGGGACCCCCACCCTGATCCAGGACACCCTTCAGGGCAAACCAGCCGGCCCCCACCCGTGCACCAGGCCTCTATCCTATATAGTAAAAGGGTAATATGCAAACTGACCCTAACAGCAGAAAGACTGGGAATGACTGGTCACTATGACACACACTGATCACCAGGGGACAGATGCTCAATGCAGGAGCTGCCCTCTGGTGGTCAGTGCGCTCCCACATGGGGGAGCTCTGCTCAGCCACAAGCCAGGCTGATTGCTGCCAGTACAGCGGTGGTGGTGGGAGCCTCTCCTGCCTCCTCAGCAGCACTAAGGATGTCTGACTGCAGCTTAGGTCTGCTCCCCGCTGGCAAGTGGATATCCCCGAGGGCTGCCGGGCTGCCAGAGGGATGTCTGATTGCCAGCTTAGGCCCAATCCCCTGGGAAGCAGGCCTAAGCCAGCAGGTGGTCATCCCCCAAGGGGTCCCAGACTGCAAGAGGTCACAGGCCGGGCTGAGGGACTCCCCCACACCCTGAGTGCACAAATTTTTGTGCACCAGGCCTCTAGTGTAAGTTATGTTGAGCTGAGACAAATAAGTAGCAGAAAATCCAGGAAAAGCACACCCCTCCCCCCTCCTTTTCTACCTAAAGGCATGATATAAATTTTCCTTTTACTGGAAGCAGCCTCTTAACTCAGACACAGCACCAGAAGAATCTTCAAACAAACTACTCCATTAGTTTCCTCACATATATTTACCTTCCTGCAACCTGCCACCCTGGGGAGGCTAACACTGCTTTCCTTTGTCCTGTTATTTCTCTACAAATTTATTGGTCTTTGTTGAAGATACTATGTAAGTCAGAATGCTAAGCCTCCAATTTGAGCTACTCTTCATTTTAGTTTCTCTCAAGTGTCATATGCTGCATGTTCTTTTTTAACAAACTGTTCTTTTTCTTGTTAATTTTTTGTTAGAATCCTATCTGAAAACCTAAGATAGGTAGAAGTAAAGTTTTACCCCAGCTACAGTGGTATGAAAGGCAGCTCATGAAAGCTTGAGAAAATAAGAAAAAGCTTGGAATCACTGCCACCAGAGATATAAAAGGAAGTTAAGGGATCAAAAATTGAAGTTTGTTTACCAAGCAGCTCAAAGAGCCCTCTTTAAGTCAGAGTAAGACTTTGGAGTAGAGCCAATCAACCTGGTTCAACAGCCCAGAACAAAGAGAGGAGTAAAGGTACTGATAAGTTTCCCAAGGACTGGAAATTAACAAGGCAGGTACTAGAAGAAGTCCTGATGGAACCTATTATTTTCCTAGGGTTGTCATTAAAGAGTACCACACACTGGTTGCCTTAAAACCACAGAAATTTATTGTCTCACAGTATGGAGGCCAGAAGTCCAAAAATTGAGGTGTGGGCAGGACCCTGCTCTCTTGGAAGCTTCTAGAGGAGGATTCTTCCTTCCTTTCCCAGCTTCTAGCAGCCCAGGCATTCCTTGGTTTGATAATTCCAATCTCTCCTATAGCCATCTTCCATGTCTTCACATGGCATTTCATGTGTGTGTGTATGTGTTTACAAATTTCCCTCTAGTTATAATACCAGTCACATTGGGTTAGTCCCACCCTAATGATTTCAACTTAATTTCCCAATAAGGTCATACTCACGGGTAGGACTTCAACATATCTTTTTGGAGGACACATTCAACTCATAACCTCAAGTAACTTGGATAGTTAAGGAGAACTCAGCAGAAATCATTAAATGAAATCTTATTGGCCTGGCTGAATAGGAAGATAAGCCAGAATGGGCTGGGCCACAGGAAGGGGGAGAGGAGTTAGGAAGGGTGCTAGAAGTTTTGAAAGAAGCCTTGTTAAATCACTGCCAGAAAATCTATTGAAAATCTAGGAGAAAATACATTAACATGTTAGTAATGGTGGGACCACTGATGACTTTCTTTACACACTTTGTACATTCCAAATTTTCTATAAGTAGTGCACAACTTTTATAACGAGAGCAACAATCATTATTTTTAAAATAACTATCCAGTAACTTCCACAATCCTCTTTTGTGCTTACAATTGAGAGTATAAAGTTAAAGAGAAAAACACATATATAGGATAAAAACATGTAAGAAAATAAGAAACAAATGTATGCTGACCTACTCTGCATTCAATAAATACTTACAAATAAATGCAGAGTAGAAAAAAGTGTGGCTTTCATCTCAAACAGATCTAAATTTAATCCCAACACTCCCATTTGCCAGTTAAGCAATAATTAGTGAGTTACTCTAAAGGTTTGTTTTCTCACTTGTAAAAATAGGACTTTAATCTCCATATGAAAGCATTATGTGAAGAGGCTAGCACAGTGTAAATACTTAAAAGTTTTTCAACATTTCCACTATATTAATAAACTTGTATATACAACCTATGATTTTAACAGAGAGACAGCATAATCAACACTTGACGGCTGAGACCTGGTCAGGTGAAGAGAGTAGTAACATGGGCAGAGTCAGAGAAGACTGCCTCAGTTTTCTGATACAGAAAAGTGAAGGATATAGTACTTACTGGAAAGAGGAATTACGCAATTGAAGTGAATGTGGATTCCATACATTTGTCAAGTTTCAGAAAAAAATGAGATAAGCCTCAACGGTGGGATGTCCACGCTATGTGCCTATAGCACCAGTTAGAACACTTCAGACGGCAAGTAACCAAAATGCAACTAAAATCGCCTCATACAAAAAGGGAGCAATAATCTCAGATAACAAGTAGTTTGGGATTAGGGAAATGCCAACAGTTTGATGATGCCAGCAAAGACCATGTTTTTTCTTCCTTTCCACTGTTACTGTACTCTCCTCAGTTCCAAGACAGCTGCTAATATCAGAAAAGAGCTGTGGCTTTCCAAATACCTCTTTTTAGAAGCTACAAAAATATTCCCCAGAAAGTTTCCCCATCTTGGAAAACTTCCCAACCTATCTCATCGGCCAGAATTACCTCACATGGGACTGCTTCTCCTGAAGCACATAGAGGGCAGACACCAAACAGTTCAATTAGAAAGATCCAGAAGAGAAGCTGAGAAGTGTGGCAAGTGGCTAGAAAGGCAACCAACAGGATCAGCCATATCTGTCTACAGGACATACAGGGAGATGAACAAAACACAAAAATGGAGTTCTGAATGGATAGTACTGGTGTACTATGAAGGATCACTATGAAGTTAAAGAAGAGGGCCAAGAAATGGGTGTCCCTGGGACATAGGTAGGCATTCTTGGGCCAGGGAAGAATAGCCATGATCACTTTCCACCAGTCACTGGTGGGATGACTAAAGATGCTAATGGGCTCAACCAAAAAAACGGCCGGAGACATGAGACAAAAGAACAAGAAAAAGTGTGTAGGTGCACTCCATCCACAGCATTGTAGAATGAGATATCTCCAGCCCCATAATCTAGGAAAATGCCTACCCGGTGGAGAGCTGGCTCTAGCTTGGTGAGACTCACAGGGGAGCCTGTTAGGGGCCAATAGCCAGCAGGACTCCAACAAATAGCCCAGATGCCCACATGAGGAGACATTTCTGCGTTATCAACAATCCCCATGACGTCCTCCTGACACACCCCCACAGCAATCTCCCGGGTATCTCGGTTCTCAACTTCCCAGTAATGTTTCCCTGAAGTGAAAACGTTCTTTCCCAAAACACATGGTAAGTGTTGAAATCTCTCCACAAAGTGTGTGTTCTGCTGAGAAGGCCTCCATCCAGTAAAGTAGTTCCATGCTGTAGAAAGTAATGGCCTAGAACTGGCGGGTGCTCCATTTTTCACATACCTCCCTTCCTGGGAGAAGACAAGGTGGGGATGACCTGTGTCTTCAGCTGCACTGATAGCCACTGCAGAGAAAAAGAGAGCTGAGATAAATAATGCAAGAGCTTACCACCAGCCCTCCTCCAGAAACACCCATCATTCCAGTTTCAGTTCTATCCTTCTCCTCCTAACATCTACTGTCAGGCATGAGACACCTCATTGCCTCTCAACTATCCCTCAGGTGGGACACTAGCAACTGAAATCCTCATTTCCCTTCCACTGCAAAAGACTAAGACCTAGAAAATAGGGAGCTCATTAGATCACGGCCATAAGACTTCACAACCAGCAAAAAATTTGGAGAAATATTAACAAATTCTGACTTGTTGAATCAGAACTAGACCAAGACTGTTGACTGGCTGGTCCTTTGTACAGGTACACATGAATGTCATCATTAACAAGGTTTCTCTTCACTGGTTCCAGTTGTTCACTTGGCATCTCCATAGACCCCCAACAGATAACTCAAAACGGAACTTACTATCCTAAGTCTCCTTCCACCCACTTGGGACGAGGCCCCTACAAATGCAGATATCATTGTCTTCTATGTCTCTAAGGTATAAAAGCATTACCTCCACCCAGATACTCACACTTTGACATCTTGCAGTTATTTGACTCTTCTTTCCCTCTAACCCTCAATGACTAATTTGTCACCAAGTTCTATCAATTCTACCTCTGAAATATCAGTCAGATTCTTTTCCTCCTCTCATTCTCACCACCACTGTCTTTACTCAGATCTTCAGCATCTCTCACTTTAACTTTGTTAATAACATCCTCCTGGCCTCCCTGCCTCCAAATTCTCTCCCCTCTGACTCTCCATATCTCTCTAATTTGTCTTATTTTTAAAATCATGACCGGATGTTGCGTTTTGACAAATGCTTTTCTGCATCTATGAACTTATCATATTTTCCTTTTTAGTTTGCTACTGTGGTGAATTACATTTATTTTTTTTAAATATTTAAACCATTTGGTTGTGATTATCCTTTTAATTATTCTTTTAATATGTTGTTAGATTCAGTGTGCTAACATTTTTAGAATTATTCTATGTTCATAGGAAACACGGATCTATAGTTCTCTTGTAATGTCTTTGATTTTAGTATTATGGCAATGCAGGCTTCATAGAATGAATTGGGAAATATTCTCTCCTCTTCAATTTTTTGTAAGAGTTCATGTAGAATACATATTTATTTCTTAAATGTTTGGTGAATTCACTAGTAAGGCCATTTGGGAAGGTTTTTAACTATAACACCAATATCTTTAATAGAAATTAAGTTATTCCAGTTATCTGTTTATTCTTAAGCAAGCGTTATTTGTGTCTTTTAAAGATTTTGTCCATTTCACCTACGTTGTCAAATGCATCAGCAAAAAGTTGTTCATAATATTCACTTATTATCCTATTAATATCTGTAGAATCTGTAGTGATGTTGCCTCTCTCATTCTTTTTTTATTGAATTTATTGGGATGACATTGGTTAATAAAATTATTTCTGGTCATTCTAGTTAAACGTTTATTAATAAAATCAATCTTCTCCAAAAATTAGCCTTTGGTTTCAATAATTTTCTGTTTTTCTGTATTCTATTGTAATATTTCTATTTCCATTCTTTCTTTTTTTTTAAATATATATTTTATTGATATTTTACAGAGAGGAAGGGAGAGAGATAGAGAGTCAGAAACATCGATGAGAGAGAAACATCGATCAGCTGCCTCCTGCACATCTCCTACTGGAGATGTGCCCGCAACCCAGGTACATGCCCTTGACCGGAATCGAACCTGGGACCTTTCAGTCCGCAAGCCGACACTCTATCCACTGAGCCAAACCGGTTTCAGCTATTTCCATTCTTTTAATTGCTTGCTTTATTTGCTCTTCTTCCAGTGTTTTAAGGTGGGAACTGGATACTGAATTGAGAACTTTCTTATAGGTTAGTGCTATAAATTTCTCCTTAAGGATTGCTTTAGCTGTACCCCATAAATTCTGATTTGTATTTTCCCTTTCATTCAGTTCAAAGAACTTACTATTTCCTTTTTGATTTCTCTTTTAATTCCTGGGTTATCTAGAAGTATGTATTTAGTTTCCTAATATTTGGGACTTTTCCATGGACATTTTTGTTACTAATATCTAACTTAAATGCATTATGGTCAGAAAACATACTTTGCATAAATTGAATTCTTTTTAATTTAATGAGATTTGTTTTATGGCCTACCTTGGTCTATCTAGTTAAAATATTCCATGCACACTTTTTAAAAATGTGTATTCTGGTGTTATATATATATATATATATCAGTGAAATAAAGTTGGTTACTAGTGATCTTCAAGCCTACTCTATTTGCTGATTTCCTGCCTGCTTGTTCTAAAAATTATTGAAAGTATTAAAACACCAGCTATAATTATGGATTAGTCTATCCTTCCTTGTAGCTCTACTAGTTTTGCTTAATATATTGTGAAGCTGTTATTACATGTATAAATGTTTAGAACTGTTATGTTCTCCTGATGAATTAACCCATTTATCATTAGTAAGTTACCTTTTTTATCTCTGATAATATTTTTTGCTCTGAAATCTTTGGTATTAATATAGCCACTCTAGATTTCTTTTGACTAATATTAGCATGGTGTATCTTTTTCCATTGTTTTACTTTTAACATGTATTTATATTTAATGTATTTCTTGCAGCATACAGTTGAGTCTTGCTTTTTTATCCAATCCAATTAATCTCCATCTTTTAATTAGGATATAAGACAATTTATATTTAATAATTAATACTATAATTGGGTTGTATCTATCATCTTGCTATATGTTTTCTTTTCATTTTACTTTTCAATTACAGCTTACATTCAATATTATTTTGTATTAGTCTTAGGTGTACAGCACAGTGGCTAAATAATCATATACTTTATAAAGTGTTCCCCCAGATACTCCAGGACCACCTGACACCATACATAGTTACTACAGTATTACTAACTATATTCCCTATGCTGCACTTTACCTCCCCATGACTATTTTGTAACTATCAATTTCTACTTCTTAATCCCTTCATCTTTTTACCCAGTGCCCCAATACCCTCCTCTCTAGCAACCATCAGTCTGTTCTGTGTCTATGAGTCTGTTTCAGTTTTATTTATTTTGTTCTTTGGATTCCACATATAAGTAAAATCAAATGGTACTTGTCTTTCTCTGACTTATTTTATCTAGCATAACACTTCCTAGGTCCATTCACACTGTTGCGAATGGTAAGATTTCATTCTGTTTTATGGCCAAATAATATTCCATTGAATATATGTACCACTACTTTTTGTAGTTGGTGTTGTTAATCCTCACCCTAGGATATTTATTCCATTGCTTTTTAGAGAAAGTGGAAGGGAGGGAGGTTTGGAGGCGGGGAGAGGGAGAGAAACATTGATCTGAAAGAGGTGCATCGACTGGTTGCCTCCTCTTCCCCAACCAGAGCCAGGGATCGAACCTGCATCCCAGGTATGTACCCTTGACCAGGAATCGAATCCTTGACCATTTGGGGCCTGTGCTCTAACCACTGACAAACACCAGCCATGGCTGTACCACTACTTTTTTATCCACCTGTCTATTGATGGGCACTTGGGTTATTTCCGTATCTTGGCTATTGTAAATTAACATTGCAATGAACATAGGGGTGCATATATTCTTTTGAATTAGTGCTTTGGGTTTCTTTGGATATATATCCGAAAGTGAAATGGCTGGGTCATAAGGCAGCCATTACCCAATTACCATTACCCATTCAGTATGTTGTCTGTTTTATTCATGGTTACCTTTGTTGTGCAAAAACTTTTTTTTTTTATATAATCCCATTTGTTCATTTTTGCCTTTTGTTTTTTGAGAACCCTCCACACTATTTTCCATAGCACCAATTTGCATTCCTACCAAAAGTGCATGAGGGTTCCCTTTTCTCCACATCCTCACCAACACTTGTTGATTTATTGACAATATGACAGGTGTAAGATGATACTGTGGTTTTAATTTGTATTTCTCTGACAGTGGCTTTAGCATCTTTCATGTCTATTGACAATTTGTAAGTCTTCTTTGGAGAAGTGTCTATTCAGTCCTCTGCCCACTTTTTAATTGGATTGTTTGGGTTTTACTTATTTACTTATTTGTTGAGTTATATGAGTTCCTTATAAATTTTGAGTATTAATCCCTTATTGAACTTATCATTCACAATTACCATTACCCATTCAGTATGTTGTCTGTTTTATTCATGGTTACCTTTGTTGTGCAAAAACTTTTTTTTTTTAATATAATCCCATTTGTTCATTTTTGCCTTTTGTTTTCTTTGCCAGAGGAGATATATCAGAAAAAAATACTGCCAGAGATTTTACTGCCTATGTTTTCTTGGAGGATTATGGTTTTAAGTCTTACATTTAAGCCTTTAATCCATTTTGAGTTTATTCTTCTATGTGGTGTAAGAAGGTGGTCTAATTTCATTTTTTGGCATGTATCTGTCCAATTTTCCCAACACCATTTAGTTACCCCCTTGTATTTTCTTGCCTCCTTTATGAAATTTTAATTGCCCACATAGGCGTGAGTTTATTTCTGGGCTCTCTATTCTGTTCCATTGATCTCTATCTGTTTTTATGCCAGTACCATGCTATTTTGATTACTATGGCCTTGTAGTATAGTTTATCAGGTAGTGTGATACCTCCAATATGTCTTCTATTTTTCCTATTTGTTCTTTTTTCTGTCTTCTTCTTGATTTATCAAATATTTTTATGATTCCACTTTATCTCCTTTGTTTTAATTATCTGTTTTATTTTAGTGGTTGTTGTGAGGCTTACCAGAATCTACCTTCAAGTGATATTATACCACTTCACATATAACAACTGTTTAATAGTATACTTACATTCTTCCCTCCCAACGTTCATGCTATTATTGTGTATTTTACTTGTAATATGTTACAAACTCCACAATGTTATTGTTTTGTCTGTCTGTTTAAACATTCAATTACTGTATTAGTCAGGGTACCAAGGGAAATAGAACAAATAGGATGTGTGCGTATATTCAGAGAGAAAGATTATAAAGGTATTGGCTCACATGAATATGGTGACTGGAAAGTTCAAATCTACTGTGTATGGGCAGGCTCAAGACCCATGGAAAATTGATGCTCCAGTTGAAAGGAGCCAAAACTGCTGAAGTCCACAGGCAATCTACTGTAGAATTCCCTCTTGCTCAGGGCTGGGGTGGAGTGGTCCAGCCTTCTGTTCTAGCTAGGCCTTCAACTGATTTGATGAGGCCCACCAACATTATGGAGGATAATCTGTCTTACTCAAGTTTCCCAAGTTAAATGTTAATCTCATCCAAAATACTCACAGCAACAACCAAAATAATACTTGACCAAATATCTGGGCACCCAGTGGCCCAATAAAGTTAATATGTAAATTAACCATCACTATTTACTTTTAACGATATTTAAATGACAAAAATATATATATATATATATTTACTTATATCATTATCATTTCAGGTAATCTTTTAATTCTAGGTTTTTTCTTTTAGTTCTTTAAAGATTTCGTTCACCTGCATTGTTTCCCATGAGATATGTGATGTCATCTTTATCTTTGTTCCCCCTATAATATGTTCTTTTTATCCTGTTATATTTAACATTTTCTTTTTTAGCACTGCTTTTGTTGTTTTCATCATATTTCTTGTGCTTAGGATTTGTTGAGCTATTGGATCCGTGTACTTACAGTTTTCAATAAATTTGGAAAATGTTCGGCCATTATTTTTTCAAATACTTTTGTTTCATCCCATCCTACTTCTCTCCTTCAAGGACCCAACTACCATGTATTACACTGCATGAAGTTGTCCCATACCTCTCTGATGCTCTTTTCATTTTAAGTACTTTACTCTGTGCATTTCATTCATTTTGTAAAGTTGCCACTGCTCCATTTTCAAGTTCGTTAATTTTTTTTTCTGCAATGTCTAATCATCTATTTATCCAAACCTGTGTATTCTTCATCTAAGTCATTCAAGTTTTTATCTCTAGAAGTTTGATCCAGGGTTATTTTTTTATATCTTCCATGTCTCTATATGCCTATTTACAGAACAGTTATAATTACTGTATTAATGTCTTATGTTTATTCTAATAACCTGATCAATCCTGGGTCAATTTCTATTAATTATTCTCATTATGAGTCATGTTTTCCTACTTCTTTGCATGCCTGATCATCTTTGATTGGGTGCCAAAGATTGTGCATTTACATTGCTGAACACGCACTCATTTTTTAAAATTCTAATCAATCTTCTTGAGCTTGTCCTGGGATGCAATTACTCAGGAATAATTTGATCATTTGGAGTCTTCATTCATGATTTTTATGGTGAGTCCAAAGCACTGCTCAGTATAGGTTAATTATTCCCCACTAATGAGGCAAGACTTTCCTGAATACTCTATTCAGTAATCATGAATTAAGAATGTTCCAGTCTGGCTGGTAGAAACAGGTACTGTTTCTAGGCCTGTGTGAGCATCAGGAACTATTCCTTATAATAATTTTGGAAACTTCCTTCCTTAACCTCAGGTAGTTCTTCACAAACTTGTTCTGACCAGTACTCTGCTGAAAACTCAGGGCTGCCTCTGTACATCATCAGGGTTCTTTCTCTGTATAGCCATCTCCTCTCCAGTACTCTGCAAACTCTCACTTTTTTTGTTCTCCCTAGACTAGGGGTCCTCAAACTACGGCCCGCGGGCCACATGCAAATACAAATATTGTATTTGTTCCCGTTTTGTTTTTTTAATTCAAAATAAGATATGTGCAGTGTGCATAGGAATTTGTTCATAGGTTTTTTTTAAACTATATTCCGGCCCTCCAACGGTCTGAGGGACAGTGAACTGGCCCCCTGTTTAAAAAGTTTGAGGACCCCTGCCCTAGACTCTCAGTTCCATTGCTCAACTCAGGGAGTCTACCTGGCTTTACCTCGGTTAACCCTCAAATGCCAAAACTGTCATCTCTGCTGTGAAAACTTCCCTACTTCACCTGCAACAGAGCTCTTCCTCTGTACATCTATAATATTTCATACCACTGATAAACACTGAATCCACAATATTACAGTGATATGTGTCTATGTCTCCAATTTGCTTATGAATACTTAGAAGGAACAGGTCTTTTTCTTTCTGTATCATTAGTGCCTTATAACAACACATAGTATGTGTTAAATGTTTCTTTGTTTTGTTTTCTGTTGTTGTTAATCCTTGCCCAAGGATATTTTTCCATTGGTTTTTAGGGAGAGAAGAGAGAGAGAAAGACAGAGAGAAGCATTGATGTCAGAGAAACACATTGATTGGCTGCCTTCTGCACAAGCCCCGACCAAGGCCCTAGGCCGGGGAGGAGCCTGCAACCAAGGTATGTGCCCTTGACAGGAATCAAACCCAGGACCCTTTGGTCTGCAGGCCAATGCTCTATCCACTGAGCCAAACTGGCTAGGGCTAAATAAATGTTTCTTGAATGAAGCATATATCCATTCATTCCTAAGTAATTACCATTTTTCCTGACCCTCTGGTTAGTTTCATATCCTGTTTCCTCCTTCCTTTCCAGACTTCTCTTTGTTTATTCTCTTATTTTAAAGACTTATAGAAAGCTCCAACTCCTAGAAGTTCTGCTCACCTTCGAATCGCTTCAGCATTTCCTTCATCAATGGTATATGGCACAGAGTCTTCACCTCTAGAACTTCAAGGGAATAGTTTACATCTTGGTTCTCACTCCTAAAAAGAAGTACAGAAGGATGCTCTTCTTAGGAGACAACTAGGGCAGCTAAGACCCCCAACTCCTATGAAGGTTCCCACTCCAAAGCTTAGACAACTTCTCTTCTATTCCTTCTTGCAAAAGTGAACAGAACTCTTCTTCCACAGGCCCCTCCAGGTGTGACCAGATTGCCCCATGGAGCCCGGCCTTGTTTCCCCTCTACTCAAGCTATATCTTTACCATTCCATGCAGACCCCCATAAGAAAGAAGGAGTTCATACCTGGTCAAAAGATCTTTTGGATTCTGTGAAGAGAAGAAAGAAAGAAGTAAGTTTGTACCTTCCTCTTGAGAGCTGGTACTCAACTTTGTGAGCAGTATTTTTCTGTCAGCTGCTTTTGTTTATGTCACATATGATCTCTTGCTGCCAAAGCAAATGAATTGACACAATGTCCTTGTTTTTCTCCTGTGACCCCTCTGTACTAGTTGACAATGTCAATCAATCCCTTTCTTGAAACTCTATTCTTCCTCTTTTGGCAATATAACATTAACTCTCTCCTGCTTTTCGCCAACTTCTCCATCTATTCTCTTTCAATCAGAGACAGTAACAAATGTTGGCTAGGATGTGGTGAGAATATAAAATGGTTCAGCCACTTTGGAAAAGAGTTTAGCAGCTTCTTAAAAAGTTAAATATACCAAACTGCCTAGCAATTCTGCTCCTACTATCTTGAAAAAATATGTTCACACACAGAATATCAGACAAATGTTCAAAGCAGCATTATTCATAACAGCCAAAAGATGGAAACAACCCAAATGCCCATCAATTTGTGAAAAGATAAACAAAATGTGCTGTATTCTACAATCAATGGAGAACTGCTCAGGAATTTAAATAGGAATGCAAATGCAGTACTAATATATGCTACAACATAAATAAAACTCAAAACCATTATATTAGATGAAAGAATAGATATACAAGACAACATAATATGATTGTTTGTGTGATATATTCAAAAAAGTGAAATCTACAGAGTCAGAAAGTAGGTTGTGGGAGGCTGGGAGTAAGAACAGAGATTAACTGCAAACAAAAACGGATCTTACGGAAATGCTCTAAAGCTGGATTGTGGTAAGGGTTGCACAACTTGATAAAATTATATTGCTCAATTGTACACTTAAAATGGGGGAATTATATCTCAAGAAAGCTGTTTTGTTTTGTTTGTTTTTTTAAAAAGGAAATATATCAAAATGATTAATTACCATTTGAAAAGTACTCAACCTCATTAGTCATCAAATGCCCATGTACCTTTCAGGAAGAGGGAAGAGGTGCTGATTGAGGGCATGAGATAACATCATACATCATTTCAGATGGCTAAAATTAAAGAACTGATCATTCTAAGTATTGATAAGGATATAGAGCAACTGGATCTTTCACACTTTGCTAGCAATGGTGTAAATTGGTACAACTACTGTGATCAGAGATTGCTCTCATTGATACATAACTGACAGAAAATGTACACATTAAGTGAACTAAAACAAGATGTTCTTAAGTGCTTTTTGTAACAGTAAACACTGGAAACAACCCAAAGTTTGCTAATAGTAAAATGAATAATATGTTTTCGTGTACTGATTCTATGGAAAACTGTCACCCCTCATATCCAAGATTCCGCATCTATGGATTCAACCAACTGGAGATCGAAAAGTTTAAAAAATATGTTACAGCCCTGACTGGTTTGGCTCAGTGGATAGAGCATCGGCCTGCAGACTGAAGGGTCCCAGGTTTGATTCCAGTCAAGGGCATGTACCTTAGTTGCGGGCCCATCCCTAGTAGGGGGTATGCAGGAGGCAGCTGATCAATGTTTCTCTCTCATCAATGTTTCTAACTCTCTAGCCCTCTCCCTTCCTCTCTGTAAAAAATCAATAAAATATATATTTTTTTAAAAAAATATATTACATTGTTGCTGACTACATAGTTAGGCCTACCATGGTTGCATATGTACTAAAATTTACCCTTTTTTTTAATCCCATTCCCTAAAAAACATAGTGTAACAACTATTTACATTGTATTAGATATATAAATAATCTAAAGATTATTTAAAGTATATAGGAGGATATGCATAGGTTATATACAAAAACTATGCCATTTTATAATAGGGACTTAAGTATCCATGGATTTTGGTATTCTTGGGGGGCTAGATACCAAGGAATAAAGTACTATGCAGAGAGTTTTCAACCTCAGCACTTTGGGCTAGATGAGTCTTTGCCTGAGCTGAAGGGGAGGTGTGTTCTGTGCATTATAGGATGTTTCGCAGCATCCATGGCCTCTACACACTAGATGCTAGTAGTAACCACCTCTGAGTTGTGACAACCAAAAATGTCTCTAGACATTGTTTCTGGGGGAGCAAAATCACTCCTGGTTGAGAATTGCTGCTATGCTGCTATGCATAGCAGCAATAAAAACAAATGATCTACTGCTACCTGCAACACGTGGACTAATCTCACAAACACAGAGACAAAAGAGCGCATACTGAGCCCTGGCTGACGTGGCTCACTGATTAGAGCGTTGGCCTGTGCACCTGAGGATCTCAGGTTCAATTCCCCGTCAAGGGCACATACGTGGGTTGCAAGTTTGATCCCAGCTCACACTCCCCTCCCCACCACACAACCAGTCAATGTGTCTCTTTCTCACTGATATTTTTTTCTCTCTCTCCCTCCCTCTCCCACCACCCCCACCCCCTTCCCTTCTCTTCTGCTCTCTCTGGAGATCTATGGAAAAGATATCCTCACTCCTTTGGTGAGGATAGAAAAAAAAGAGTGCATACTGAAAGACTCTTATTCAAAAACAAGCAAAACAAAAGTGTGAGAAGCCTGAAAGGAGACTAGCTTTAAGGAAGAGGTAAAGGATATTGATTGAGGGTGTGAGGAGGGCTTCTGGGATGCTACTTCTGTTCTACTTCTTGACTTGGGTGGTGGTTATAAGGTTGGATCATTTGGTGATAACTTGTCAAGCTTATGATTTATATTTTTTTTTGTAGATTTTATATTAAAAATGTTTATCCTATCCTATATAATAAAAGCATAATATGCAAATCAACTGAACAGCAGAACGACCGGTCGCTATGACGTGCATTGACCACCAGGGGGCAGACGCTCAATGCAGGAGCTGCCCCCTGGTGGTCAGTGAACTCCCACAGGGGGAGCGCTGCTTACCCAGAAGCCGGGCTCACAGCTGGTGAGCACAGTGGTAGTAGCGGGAGCCTCTCCCGCCTCCACTACAGGCAGGTGTTAAGGAGCAAGAGGTCCCAAACTGCGAGAGCCCCAGACTATGAGAGGGATGTCTGACTGCAGGCTTAGGCCTGATCCCCGAGGTGTCCCAAGGATCATCCCCCGAGGTGTCCCAGACTGCAAGAGGGTGAAGGCTGGGTTGAGGAACACCCCCACCCCCGAGTGCATGAATTTCATGCACCGGGCCTCTAGTTTTACTATAACAATAAAAATAATATTGTCAAAATCTGTGGACACAGTTAAACAATACTTAAATATATGTATTATATCTAAATGCAATGATCTCCAATAATTGTCTAGAACTTTTACAACTTGCTTGAACAATGAAGTTCCAATTACATATCCAAACATATCATCTAGCAGAACCTTTGAAATAACACATTTAAACACTGTTTAAAATACAGGTTTAATATCTAGTTAGAGTCTGAAACCTCAAAGATACACATGAGCCAACAGAGTACTTACAAAAAAATTTATCAGCCAACATAAGTGCAAGATTAGACAAATAATTAAAAATAGAGCTGGATCATAGCATCTCAGAGCCTCGGGGAATTTATTTTATTGATACCCATCCCTCCGTCCTTTTTGTTTTTTATTTATTCCTTCACTTTTAGCACATAACTCACTTCTATTCTTCTTAGAAACACAGCAACATTGAAAATAAAAACCATTCTATTGTGCTTAATTTTTTAATGTGTTCTTGCAAAATACATAGTATTGCTTAGGTTTATGTATTTTTAATTTATGCAATGAGTTAGAGTTTTTGTTGCACTCTGTTTCTGCTTTTTTTTCTTAGACATTATGTTTTTAAGATCCATTCCTGTTACTATGTATACATTGAATCCATGTGTCCACTTTTTGCCAGTTTCCTCTTTCAGTAATTGATACCCAGATTGTCCTCAACACCATTACCACTATAAATAATGCTACTGTGAAATCATTGTTTTTTCTCCTTACTAGTTCTTGGGTTTGCTCTATAGCTCTTCCCACAACCACTGCCTTCTTGAGTTGGCATGCTTAGCTCATTTATATTTACCCTTTTGTTTGCTGGTAAATACAGGATGGGGCAAAAGTAGGTTTACAGTCTGAGTCTTTTGCCCCACCTTGTACAAACATAAATAAGACAAATAGAAAAGTCTTAGATGTGCTTCAGATCCTAGATAAATTATTGAACTAGGTGAATGATACCTACATTGTATATTAAGTTCCTTTAAAGAGTAAATCTTTATTTAATTGTATAACGACAGTAGTAATACAATTAACATTTCTTCTATTAAACCCATTCACTAAGAAAGACATTCAGCTCTGAAGATAAGAGAATTCAGTTAGTGATGTTAACTAACCCCTCCCCTGCCGGCCTCACCTGAAGCAACTCCAGGATGGAGCTCTGGCTCTTCTCCTCGACCTCTAAGATGAGCTTCTTCAAGGAAGTGATTATCTGATGGAGCTGTAATGTGTTCTCAGTCCGTTTCTTCTTAGTCTCTTCTTCTTCTTTGCTCAACTTCTGAAGAAACAGTTGCTCTTCTTCAGCTAGGAAGTCATGCAGCTTTGTAAATTCTGCACTGAATCTCAATTTCTGATTCTTCATCTTGTCCTAGAGCCACATGAGATTTGCTCAGTCCTTGTTTCTGCCTAGTCCTTACTCCTAAACTCCTTGCACATGACTCCCCAGTAATCCATGGTCCTTCCATTTTAATCACCTCCTCCAGAAAAGCTCCTGCCTACCCCCCCCCACAAATTTCCACTTCTCCTCTATTTAAACTTATTTGATATCTTTATATTAGTCTTTATAGTATTCACTTATTCTTTGTAACATCTGGGTCTCTACTATTGCTAGCAATGCTTTGTGTACTTTTTAAACTAAAATGCACTTTCACATCTATTACTTAGTTTAGCCCTCAGAACACGTACTCTTCCGTTTTGTTAAACCTTTAGATATGTGCTTGTGCCCACACACATCATGCCTCCCAACTAGATTAGCATCTCTGAAAGCACAGTCAATTTACTTTCTACAATGCCATGGACCCAAACCAATTCCAACCTTAGGAAAAAGTGGGAAAGAAGGTGGCACTACCTCAAAGTAGAGATGGGAATGAAGTATATGGAACTCAGAGATCATTAGGGACAGATACATACTTCCTGTTCTATGAACTTATCTGCAAGGGGCCTGACAACTGATGGCAGCCACAGATTGCAAGGGCCTCAGAGGCAAGAAATGTCCAACCACTTCCGCTGTTACCTTCCACTCTGTAGCATTCTTCACTTCCATGTCCTGTAGATGCATGGCTTTCTTCATCTTGGCTGTTAGACTACACTGAGTCATAAGAAGTTTTTCCTGCGAGCAGAAACACATATTAGACAGAAATCATCTGTCCAAGCAACTTCCTTGTGCAAGAGCTTAAAAAGTCACCTAATCCAAATAGGCAACGATATTGAGAAAATGCTGAAGATAGTCATTGGCCATCTTCAGAATAAGAAATATTCTGGTCTTAAATCGCCACAAAACTATATAGAGTTTGCCTATTAAATTGGCAAAAACTGAACAATGTTAGACAATTAATAAGTATCTAGCATTGACAAGGTAGAAAAAGCTTCTGGCACCGTCATAGTGGGAAAGTACAAAGTTGCATCTTTTAGAAGGGCAGTGGCAAGATTTCGCAAAATTTAAAATGCACATAATACTACTTCTAATAATCTATGCAACAAAACACTACTAAAGTAATCAATATATAGGAGTGTTCACTACAGCGTTATCCATTATCAACGAGAAATTATTAAATAAATTATGGTATATTGATACTCCACATCAATTTCAGGTAGTTCTCTATATATTGACATATTATATTAAATTAAAACTAAGCTGTAAAGCAATAGTACTATATACTTCTGTTTTGCAAAGAGTGTGTGTCTGTATGTGTATGTATGAGTTTGAATAGAAGAAAAATATGGGAGGTTATACACCAAAATATTAACACTAGTTATTTCTAGAGGATAGAAATGGCTTGAAAGTTGGAAGGAAGGGAGACTAGAAATTTTCTAAATTTGTTTTGTTTGAATTTCTATAAGAGGCATATAATTTAAATAATTTTTGTAATTTAAAAACCCAAATAAGCTATTAAAAAAAAAAATCCAAGTCAGTCAGCATTAACAGAGTGGGCTGTAGAGGGGAAGCACCTGATAGCAGAATGTCAGACATGACCTTAGAGAGAGAAGCAGGCAGGTTAGAGACACACACAAAAGGAGAGCCATTAGGAACTGATGACCAAATAAATGACTGCAAGAAGAAGGAGTCCAGCTTTTGCCCCTGGCTTGAGTAACTAGATGGATTGTAGGTTATTTATCAAATTAGAAGATATAAGAAGGAACAGTATGTAAATGGGAGGGAAGAAAATAAATTCTACTTGAATACATTGCACTTGAGATATCTGTGGAACATCCAAGTGGATATACACTAAGTGCCCAGATTATTATGACCACCTGACATTTGTAAGCAAATTAGCTATAATTTCCCGCTGAAGTTGCTAGAGGGCCAGACCATTATAAATAGGGAAGCAGGTTGTTTACCATGACAGTAGAAGTGATTTTTTTCTGAAGATATGGGAAAACAATGCCACTCAGTGTAGTTAGCAGTTAAGAGTCAAGAAAGATCTGAACTAAAGAAGTAGATTTAGGGGTCAGAGCACAGGCAGCACTTGAAGCCCTGGGTGTGAATAAAACCGCCCAGTAGAATTCTATAGAGTAAAAAAGCATCAGGGCTGAAACTGGAACAACAACAAGGGGTCTGCAGAGAATGAAAATCATGCACAGAAGCTGCAATGAGTGATTGGTGAAAAAACATGAGTAATGGTTTCTTATACACAAAGCAAAAGAGTATTTAAATTAAAAACTGGTGAAAACTGCCAAATGCTGAAGAATGATTGAGGGAAGCTTTCTGTAAGTCTGTGTGTATGTCAAAATAAAAAGCTTAAAAGAAAAAAGATAAATGAATAGAACAAAGAAATAAGTGGTATAATTACTTTTTAAATTATTCTCTAGGAAAATAATAAAAACTAAAAGGTATCACTTTTCTCCCAATAATTTATAAGTGACAATGCTTAAAGTTAGATCATTTAAAAACACAACACCAAAGTTGGCAGGAACATGGAGCAACTAAAACTCTCATACAACGTTGGTGGATGTGTGAAATGGTACAACCGCTTCAGAAAAAGGTGTAGCATAAAACTAAACATACATTAATCCTAGAGTCCAGCAATTCTATTCCTTATTCCAGGAAAAATTGAAACATGTCTCAAATGTACACTTAAACTGTATCTATTTCATTATATTAAATTTTACCTCAGGAAATAACCTAAACAAATGTTAACTCTGGTTAATGCTGAGCATGCTAAAGTATAGGAGGAAGTGTACTCTCTGCAATTAACTTTAAAATGCTTCAAAAAGAAATAAGAATTGATGGATACAGAAAAGATATAGACAGATGAACAGATAGGTGATTAACAAATAGAATAAAATGTTAATGACAGAACCTAGATGTGGGTATACTGGTATTATTACAAAACTAGAGGCCCTGTGCACAGATTTGTGCACACTGAAAGGAAATTAATTAGAAGGTGGCCAGTGGGGGTGGGCTGGGCAAGACAGGCCAGACATGCCCTGGAGCCAACCTCCTGCGGTCCCTCCCCAGCCAGCCGCACCTGGGGCAGCACCATGGCTCAAAGGGTGTCTGCGGAGTGAGCGGGGGGTCCCTCTGGCAGGTGGGATCTCTCTGCCTGGCCTGCAGGGATCGGGCCAAAACCAGCAGTCCAACATCCCCTGAGGGGTCCTGGAGTGCGAGAGGGCAATCTACAAAATTGCTGTTGCTGGGCAGCTCCTGCATTGAGCATCTGCCCCCTGGTGGTCAGTGCGCCTCATACCTACCAGCCAGTCGGCCAGTTGACCTGTCGCTTAGCCTTTTATATATGTAGATTCTTCCAACTTTGATGTATGCTTGAAAATTGCACAGCAAAATGTTGGGGGGAAATAACATTAAGTTACAAAGGAATTTATATAGTAGTTCTGTTTTATATCACAATATCACTTGTATAATATTCTAATATAATGTTTTATATGTAGCATTACAAAATCAACTTATTACTCGTAGTCGTTCACTTACATAGGTATATAATCCTGCTCAGTAAGGTAAGTGATTATCTTAAATAATCTTATTATTTTACTGAATTATGTAACTACTACTTTGTGATCACTGTCAAATTCAATGTATATATGAGGCTTGTAATGAAATATGTATGTGACCAAGATTTTTTTTAAGTTTTCACTTTTGTTTGATAATGAAAACAATTTAATCTTTTAAATAGAATTTTTCAATTTTTAAAAGCCTTTAACAATTCTAGTATGCATGAATTATCCTGCATAGTTGGTTCTGTTATCCAAGACTCTTAAGTCTTTCTGAATCTTGCCACAGTTGGGATATAAACAGGATCCCTGAGTAAACTTGGAAAACTCCTTCCCTGCAGTAACAGAAACTGCCAGGAGGTGGCAGGAGGGCAGCACCAAACATTTCAAAGCTGGCTAGTTGGTTTTTAAAAACCATTTTCTCTTGATTTAACATCAGAAAAATTTGTGTACATAAAACCATAAGTACAATAAAAGTGCATACACTTGCAAAACGAAGATATATGCTGCTTGTGATCATGTTGTTCAAATAACATTAAACTTCAAATCAGATGTGAGTTTCCATCTAGGCCTTCACAAACTAGTTATGTATCTGAGGAAGTCGGCCTCACACATTTCCTGGGTCACAGCTGATGACAAATGGATTAAATGGCCTCTAAATACCAGCTCTTAGGTTCTGTGCATTTCTGTCACTGTAATCTCTGCATTCCATTCAAGCAGGCAGATGTACCTCCAAAACAGAGATCCAATCAGCCCCCTTACTGTCCCCACTGCCACTCTCTAGTTCCAGTCACCATCATCTCTTGTCTGGACATGTGTAATAACCCCATGACTGGTTTCCTACTTCCAATCTTGTCCTTCTCTCATCTGATATTCACATAGCAGCTAGAATAATCTTTCTAAAAGCCAATCAGACCATATCACTACCCTGCTTACAATTCTTTATTGGCTTTCCTCATCACCAGAAAAATTCAAACACCTTATTATGGCCTGATATAACCCAAGTCATCTTATGCTACTTTCCCCCTCACTCATGATGCTCCTGGCACCTAGACCTTCTTTCAGTTCCAGGCTCTTCCCAGCCTCAGGGTCTTTGCATTTGCTGTCCAGTGCCTGGAATGTTCTTCCCACTGTTCCTCAGATGGCTGGATCCTACTCATCTATCAAGTCTCACCTGAATGTCATCTTAGAGAAAGCTACCCTGTTACTTCTCTGGCATGGTACATTATTTCTTTCACAGCATATCACAATCTGTGATTATTTCATTTATTTGTCTGTTGTCTACCTCCTACCCCCAGCCCAAATAGACTATGCACTTCATGAAAACAGTCTTTACCTGTCTTATTCACCATTCTATTCCCAGTGCTATGGCTGATGCTGTAGTATAGTGTCTGACACAAAACAGTGTTCAAGAGATATTTGTTAAATAAATTAATAGTAATGAAGGGATTAGCTCTGAGAATCAGCAGAATGGCATGAGAGTAGAAAGAACAGTGCTTAAAAGCCTTTCCATGCAAATAATCTGCTTCCTCAAGTCTATGAAGCTACTTCTCTTTCTCTGTTCTCTTTTTCTCCTCCACAAACAATGACTCTTAAAAAAAAAAACTTGTGTTCATATAAAAGACCTTTTGAGCCTGGCTGGTGTTGCTCAGTGGTTGAGTGTCAACCCATGAATCAGGAGGTCACAGTTCAATGCACAGTTAGAGCACGTGCCCGGTTACAGGCTCCATCTGCAGTAGGGGGCGTCCAGGAGGCAGTTGATTTAAGATTTAAGGGCCCTGTTCTCCTTTCACAACCACCCACTTTATGTGCCTCAGCCCTTACCCACAAATGTATTTTCCCTTCCATTTCTCTGATGGGTCCTTTCGATCTCTTTTGCTGGTTACTAAGCACTGGTATTTCCCAGCTTCTCTTTATGCCCCTTTTTCTTACCGTCTATGTGGTTCCCCTAGGGCAGTGATCAGCAAACTGCGGGCTCATGAGTCACATGCGGCTCTTTGGCCCCTAGAGTGTGTCTTTTGCACAAAATACCATGTGTGGGCGCACATGTACAGTGCGATTGAAACTTCGTGGCCCATGCGCAGAAGTCGGTATTTTGTGGAAGAGCCACACTCAAGGGGCCAAAGAGCCGCATGTGGCTCGCGAGCCGCAGTTTGTCAACCACTGACCTAGGGAAATCTCATCTGCTTACTTCTTCTATGGGTAGGCTGACCATTCTAAAATAGTGTTTTGAGCCTCTGATGCCCCCTGCTTCCTGTCCCTCTTCCTTAGACTTCCTGTCACAGTCGCCTCCCCTCAACATGTCCCAAATGAGCACTAGAAACTGTCATCCTAGACTCCTCTCTTTCCCTTACCCACCAAGTCCAATTAGTCACCAAGTCATTCAACTCCAGCACTCATGAATCCATCCCCTCTTCTCCATCGTCCCTGCCCTACACTAATTCAGGCCCTTATTGCCTCATGCTTGAAATGGTGCCACAGCAGTCTAATTGGTCTTCTCCATCCATATTGATATCAAAGTGATCTTTCTAAAACCAAAAACTGATGGTGTCATTCCCTGCCTTTAAATCCTCAATGCCCATTGCCTCAAAGAGAAAGCTACGAACAACATCCTTCATGACATGGCCCTTGCCCCTTTCTTCAGCCTCAACTCCCACCATCCTCCCTCCCATGTTCTACACTCCAGAAGTTCTAAGCAACCTCCAGTCCTCTTACATATCACACGCTATTCCACACTGCCACACTGTTCCCTTGGCTTGAATATCCTCTCCCCTCCCTTGCTATACTTACCCTTCAAGACTGAACTCATGTTTAATGCTTCTCTAATGCCATTCCTCACTCCTCGCTGATCACTCTGACCTCAGACTTTCTGGGTACTTGGTACAAACTTGGATTACCCTCAGACACTAAAATTGTTGGTGTACATGCTTATAAGACAAGGCCTATGTCTTTCTCGTTTGTTTATGTCCAGATTCTAGAACAATGCCTGGCATCCAGTAAGCATCAACAAATGTTACTGAATGAAGGAATTACTATATATTTCATTGTCCAGCTTTACATCTGTTTCCTGTTTGTAGTCAGCTGATAAAACTGTATAACATCTTATAGTTTACAAAATCAGTTAACTTGTGTCATTCAGTGAGTGCATTCAACCAGTACTTACTAGATACCAATTCTGTTGGAGACCACTGGAGTTACACCATCAGTAATGGAAGGGGACAGGGCTACTCTGGAAAAGATGATCAAGGAAGATCTTCAAGCTAAAAGCAAGTAAGATCTAAAGGACAGAAGGTATGGGTAGAGAAAGAGAACAGCCTTGAAAACAAAAGCAAGAAGGCCAGTGTGGCTGGCGCAGAGTAGGATAAACTGATCTATTCAACTGAAGCTTCTTAACTAACGCATGAGATAGGCCAAATATACAATTCAAACATTAAGTGATTTTCCCAATTGATTAAAGAAGCTAGTAACAATACCCAGCCTCATTTTAACCCATGCTTTTCCCAAATCATCATTTGTCTGTGACACCCACAGGATAGACCTGCACCGTCCAATACAACATCCATTAGGCAGTGAGCACCCAAAATGTGGATAGCTGGAATTGATATGTGCTATAAATGAATAACACAGAGATTTTAAAGGTCTACTATGAAAAAATAGATATTTCTTAAGAACAATGTTAAACAGTATTTTGGATAATTAGGTTAAATAAAATATACAGTGGGGCCTTGACTTAAGAGTTTATTTCGTTCCGTGACGGAGCTCGTAACTCAAATTACTCGTATGTCAAATCAAAAAGTGAACGAGTGAGACAGGTGATGCTGGGCTGATCTTGTGGCGTTCGCTGCGCCAACTAGCGGTGGGGTATCTGAAGCTGGCTCGTAACCCGAATTTTAGCTCGCAACTCAAAGCAAAAAATTGGCCGAGAGACAGCTCGTATCTCGAAAAACTCGTTAGTAGGGACACTCCTAAGTCAAGGCCCCACTGTATTATTAAAAATGAACGTGCCCTAGCTGGTTTGGCTCAGTGCATAGCGCGTAGGCCTGCGGACTGAAGGGTCCCAGGTTCAATTTCAGCCAAGGGCACATGCCCGGGTTGTGGGTTCCATTCCCCCACACACAGTAGGGGGCGTGCAGGAGGCAGCCAATCAATGATATTCTCTCATTGAGGTTTCTGTCTCTCTATCCCTCTCCCTTCCTCTCTGAAATCAATAAAAATATGTATTTTTAAAAAGTGAACGTCACCTGCTCTTTTTACCACTATAAAAACTATACACGTGGTTTGCCTGACGTTTCTACCGGACAGCACTGGTATACACACGCCCACTCAGCGCGTTTGCCTGGAGCGAGACGCTCCCCGGGCGGTTCCGGGAAATCCTGCAGCGGTGACAGGGCACGCCCCGCCCCCCCCTCCCACCCCCCGTTTTCACTCCCGCTCGGAGCTCCGTGCAGCGTCACTTCTTTGAGCCTCAAAGGCGTTTTCGTGCTTCCCAGGGGGCCAGCCGCCACCCCGGGCGCCTTTGACGACAGCGAAGTGGCCGGTACACACTCCCGGGCAGCCCCGCGGCCCGCGGCGAGCTCACCCGGTAGCTCTCGAAGGCCTCGTCCACGGGCGCCATGGCGTGGTCCTGGTGCTCCTGGGACTCCCGGCACACCAGGCACACGGGCCGCTGGTCGTCCTCGCAGAAGAGGCGCAGCGGCTCCCAGTGGCGGCCGCACAGCCCGGGGGGCACGGGGCCCTGCTGCCGGCGCCGCGCCTTCTCCGTCAGCCGGGCCAGGGCCCAGTTGGGCCGCAGGGCGGCGGGCGACGACGGCTGCCGGCACTCGGGGCAGAGGAACAGGCCGTCGGCCGGCGTCCAGCTGCGGCGCAGGCAGCGGCGGCAGAAGTTGTGGCCGCACTCGATGGACACCGGGTCATTGAAAAAGTCCAGGCAGATGGGGCAGGTCAGCTCTTCCTGGAGGTCCTCGGCCTCCATGACGCCTCCCCGACCCGAGCCCGCCGGGCCGACGCGGGGAACTGCCTGCGGGAGCGGCCTGCGGGCGGGCGGGCGGGCGGGGAAGCCGCGGCCCGGGCTCGGCCGGGAAGTGCAGTCCTACTTCCGGGGCTGCGGGCGCGGGCGTGGCCTCCCCGGCCTGGACACCGCCGGGGAGCTGGGGCCTCCCCTCCGGTCAACAACAGAGATGCGGACTCGCCTCCCCCGGAAGCCCGGAGCGGATGCCGGGGATCCGTGGGTTGGGAGGCGGCGACTGCGCCTGTGCCGCCGGCGCCGGTGCAGCTACACCCGAGGCGCTAACGGGCCGGCTGGTCCGCGGGGTGGGAGGCGAGGTGAGAGGCGCCGGCTGCTCGGGCGGCGTGAGTGCCGGAGTCCGGGGCGGGCTGCACGCAGGAGGGCAGGGGGGTCTGTGCAGCTGGGCCCTGGATGGGGCTTAGGAGGCGCTGGGCGCTCGAGGCTCGCTCTCCCCGAAGTCCCGTCTTTTTCAGCCTCATTCTCCAAGGAAAGGAGCCCTTTCTCAGCCTTCAGCCCCACGGTCTGGTTGAGTTCATAGAAAAGCAGGGTATCCTAGTCCCCAGGGAGTTTCCTCCCGTGCCGCGCGGGAAAGGGAGTGTTTGGGGAGCTATCTGGTCGACCAGGCCCTCGCTTTCTTCCTGGGGGCGCAGGAAACAGACCCCAGGTAGAGGAAACCCCTTCTCTGAGCATGGGCGCACTCACCCAGTGCTGATGGGGGCTCTAGTATTTAAGTCAGGGGAAGGAATCTAGGATTAGGTGATCTTCTCCAGGTTTGACTTCCCATCAGTGTTTTAGATAGTTCAACTCCCTGGAGGTCTAGGGAGGAGGAGATGCTCTAAGCCAGTGGTGGGCAACCCTTTTGTGAGTGCGTGCCAAAACCAGCAAAATCTCTGACTCAAAATTCTTCTGCATGCCAATCCTAATTTTTTGAGAACATGTTACGCCTACTTGATATCTCTTAAGGTGTACGTATGTGAAGAACCTTGAAGAAATAATAAAATTCATTCGAGCGACAAAAACACAGGATATGATGATGAAAAATACATTTATTTTTTAATGTATACATGCACACTGATAGTCCGACAGAAAACTTTATGACTCCGTTTGATATTATCAGTGGGACTTTTGCTGCTGCATCACTGATGACAGATTTTACATCAGGTTTATATTTCGTGACCTTCAGAGATATGCACGAGCTACTACTTTCATCCGTCAGGCTGCTCCTATTGCGAGACTTAACAAAATTCATCACTGAGAACAAAGATTCACAAGCGTATGTGGATGAAACCAAAACACTGGTCGGATCTAGGAAGGCAGGGAGAGTTAAGGCAGAGGCATAAATTGCTCTTCCCCTCTCTCCTTACTCCATGTCTATGGTCTTTAAGATAACTTGTTATGTAAAATTATTTATTTATCTAAAATGCACCTACACTGAATTTATCTGAAATAAATAAATTATCTGAGATAAATAAATTTATCTGAGATAAATAAAAAAGTCGATATTAAAAAAATTGTAAATGGAAGATTATAATAGAGGGTTTTGCGTGCCAGCAAAAGTTACTGGCGTGTGCCAGGGGTTGCCCACCCCTGCTCTACGCCAACTCTGGGTGATCTGCTATTGAGTGGCTGTCATCCAAGATACTGGGAAGGAGCAGATCCTCTCGATCAGCGGTTCTCAACCTGGGGGTCGAACGACCCTTTCACAGGGGTCGCCTAAGACCATCGGAAAACACATATATAATTTCATACTGTTTTTGTGTTTAATCACTATGCTTTAATTATGTTCAATTTGTAACAATGAAAATACATTCTGCATATCAGATATTTATTTACATTATGATTCATAACAGTAGCAAAATTACAGTTATGAAGTAGCAACGAAAATAATTTTATGGTTGGGGGTCACCACAACATGAGGAACTGTATTAAAGGGTCGGGGCATTAGGAAGGTTGAGAACCACTGCTGTAGCTGCTGGTGCTAGAGCAGCTTCTGATCCTCCTACCTGGTGAGGTCAAGACCGGGATGAGAGAGCAATGCTTAGAGAGTGCAGCTGAAGCTGTAGCTTGTTGTGGAAGACCAGGAGAGTGGGTGAAAAGCAAGTTTTTTTAGGCGGGAGTGATTAAGATTCAGAAGCACAGATAGTGGCCTTTTGGTACCCAGCCATTCCCAAGGAACAGCCATGAAGGCTTTCAACAAATAACATGCTGGCCTGTTTCAGGGAATTATTTGTTTCTTTTCAGTGGATTTTTGATCTTGTGTTTCTGAGGTGCGTTTTTATTATTATTATTCCCACTTTGTTCCTTTACTTATGAAGTCTTTAAATCTTCTTGTGTTCCAATGTCAGACACTGCCTTTCCCATAATATACTCAATGAGTATTTACTGAATGATTAAATGATTTAGAAAGGTGGTTTCCGCAAATTGGAGGTGGGTTTTTTTTTATAAAAGTCCCACAGAATATCTAGTTTTAAAATGTTTAAATTATCGCCCTTGCCAGGTAGCTCCGTTGGTTAAAGTGTCATCCCAATGCATCAAGGTTGTGGGTTCAATCCCTGATCAGAGCACATACAAGAATCTACCAATGAATGCATAAATAAGTAGAACAACAAATCAATGTTTCTCTCTATCTCTTAATTGAGATACCATATTGATAAGGACTCTGAGTCATAATATGGACCAAGGAGCAAGAAATGCTCTTATCAGTTACTGGTGTTTGCCATGAGTGTTTGTGGTGTGAGTGTGTATTTGTATGTCTGCCTATGTATTAAGAAATGAGGCCCTGTGTCTCATTAAGGTCCTTATGTCTTCAATCCTGCCATGCTTCTAAGATGACTGTCCATCTTTACTGAAAATATTGAGGTTCCCTAATTCACACCTTTATTCATCTGGAATTTCAGGGGACCCCAAATAGCCAAACAATCTAGAAAAAGAACAAAGTAGGAGGACTCACACTTCCCAATTTCAAACCCTTTACAAAACTACAGTAATCAAAACATGATGCTGGCATAAGGATAGACATATACATCAATGGAATACTGTTAGAAAAGTGTACTGTGGCTGAGAGACAGGAGAAAAAGGCTGACAACTCCAGCATTACATCAAGAGTTTATTAAGGGAGCTTACATATGAGACATATCTTGGGCAGCAGCAAGACAACATGGCTATCCTCCGTGCTACGTGGTTATATAGCACAGGGCAGGATGGATAGTGGTACTGTGGTGTGACAAGCCCCAGATAAGACGAAAACATCTTACACGCTTGCCCAGCGCAGGGCAAAGGCCTGTCCCAGGAACAACCATGCCTGGGGACATAGGGTAGGGGTTGATCAGACATTCTCTGATGAGATTTATGGGAAGCAGTCTCTGTTCTGACTGGAATCTAGCTGGATCTGTCTTAAGGGTCCACAGCCGTCACATCATGGGACAACCTCTTCTCCACAAATAATAGTGAGAATCCAGAAAAAGAAAAAAAAAGTCATACATCTACAAGCAATTGATTTTTAACAAGGGTGCCAAAGCAGTGTTTGGGAGTTATGGGAGTTTGGGGATAATGGCTGAGGGCCATAGGGTTTCCTTCTGAATTGATGAAAATATTCTAAAATTGTTTGTGTTGATGGATACACAATTTTGTGACTGTACTAAAAGCCATTGAATTGCATAATTTAAATGGATGAATTATATGGCACATGAATAATATGTTTTGAAAGGGATGCTGTCTATCAAGAAGAAATTCTGAATGATGACATTTGTTTTTTTTTCTGTCCTTAGTCACTTGATTATATAAGATAAGGGATTATTACTATTTTTTGATATATTTTTATTGATTTCATAGAGGAAGGGAGAGGGAGAAAGAGAACTATCAGTGATGAGAGAGAATCGTTGATCAGCTGTCTCCTGCATGCCCCCTACTGGGGATCGAGCTCGCAATCTGAGCTTGTGCCCTTGACAGTAATCAAACCAGGACCCTTCAGTCCACTGAGCCAAACCAGCTAGGGCTCAGGTAAGGGATTCTTTATGAAACACTTGTGTAGCAAAAAAAAAAAATTATCGTTTTACCAGTTGTTGCCAAAGTGTCTCTTGGGGAACCAAATATCTTTCTTTAGGGATGCCCCTTTTTCATTTACTTGGGGTAACTTGGGATTCAGGAGAAACAAAATTAGGTAACTACTCTTTGTTGAGAATTTGAGGACAAGGAAGAACTGAGGAGAGAGGTGTTTCTGCGTAAAGGTGGGAGGCTGGAACGCTCTTGGACAGAAATGACTGAGACTCAAGAAAAGAGAAACCTGTCATTCAGCTTTAAATTATCTCCCAAATCACACTATAATGTAAATTCCCCTTACTGTTACCCATGAAACAGCAGTGGAACTCATATGTCTTTTCAGTAGAGTTGAGGGAAAAGTAGGGACTTAGCTTCACATTTAAGGTGCTGTGTGCTGGAGCCAATAGAGCAATTGCCATGAACCAAGAAGAAAATGAGAATTGAGCAGAAATCAGAGTTGTCAGTGGTCCAGGGGACATAAGCCTCTGAATTCACAGTAATCTTCCTAAGGGATGTGGCCAGGTGTTTGAATAAATCTAATCCATATATTAAAAGGACACTAGGTTATATATGCTTGGAAGGCCAGAGTTTATGGGTGTGACACCTACTGCAAGGCTGCGGGTATTCAGGGTTATAGGACTTTGAAATTGGGGAAGCAGAGAATGTAGAACCACAGGAGAGAGATAAGTAGAGTCACTGAGACAAGAATTGTCTTTAGTAACAAGAATGCCACCAACAGTAGTCAAGCTTTATTGCACAGGACAAGGGTGAGGCTTGATTTTATGGATGTTTCTGCTGACTTATTCAAACAAAGTTCATGAAAATTGTGATGCTGACACCAGAAAATTCTGGGAAGAGGGCACAAGCAGGAGTTCTTCAAGGAAATGCTTTAGGCAGCATGGCAACAGCCTCTAACTTGTCACGGAGATGTATCCCCACTCACTGGATGTTGGGGAGAAGATCCAGTCATGGGGTATCCTTCAGAGTGGAGCCAGGTGTTTTTATAACTCTGCAAAGTAGAAAATCAAGCAGAAGCTGAGACTTTTTCTAAATGGAAAGAGACCTCGATGGAAGCACTGGGAGGCACAACTGACTGAGCACTCTGGTCCTGGTTCATCGGAAGAAGTCATCAAATTGACGGGGATGGGGGTTGGATAGGGAGCAGTGGTCAGAACATCTAGAACCTGGTTTTCTACTTTTTAAAAAAGATTTAATGTATTGGAGTGACATTGGTTAATAAAATTATATAGGTTTCAGGTGTACAATTCTATAACATCATCTGTATATTATATTGTGTGTTCACCATCCCAAGTCAAGTCTCCTTCCATCGCCATTTATCCCGCTCCATATACCCTCTTCTATCTCCCCCCACTCCCCTTTCCCTCTGGAAATCACCATACTGCTTTCTGTCTATGAGGTGTTGTTTTGTTTTGTTTGTTTTTGCTTAATCCTTTCACTTTTTTCTCTTTTGTAACATGTGGGAGTTGTACTTCCCGGAGGGAAGGGTCCTGCCAAGAGGGGATCATCAGGAAAGAAGAATGAGGGACATTGGTGCTCTTCTCACCTGCTACTCGGAACTGTTCTTTTGATTCCACCACTGGGAAGTTATCGTTTGGTTCCTTGTGTTTTCTGGTGGTCTCTGAAGTTGTGAGGTAGTTAGAAGAGGAAGATTTTTGCTTCCAGGTCTGCCACCATCTCCCCAGGCCCAGGAGCACCAGCTCCAAAAGAGTAAAGAAGAGACAGAGCCCACTGAGCCCAAACATGGTCTTTAGGAAGATGGTCTTCTCAGAGGGGCGGGGCACATGGCAGGTTATACTGCCGAGGCAAGGCTCTCGACGACATGAAAAGGAGCTGGGCATCTTGAACCCATACAGATGGTACTGCCCTCCCAAGGCTGCCCCCTCAAGGACCAGTCGCACCCCCAGCTGTGCTACATAGGCCCAGAGCAGCTTGGGGCTTTCAGCCCCTGAGACATTTGTGCTGCCCTGTTCTTGTCTGATCAGGGTCTCCTCCTCCTTCACTTTTCTTGAGTCTTCCCAATGCCAGATGCCATGATACATGGTGAAACCCATGTAGAGGACACTGGGCACAGCCACCAACATGACCTGGAAGGCCCAGAAACGCAGTGGGGAGAGGGGGTGGAAGGCATCGTAGCAGGCAACCTTGCAGCCTGGCTGCTGGGTGTGACACACAAATTCACTCTGCTCATCGCCATAGACCCCCATCCCACTGGTAGCCAGCAGTATGAGGCGGAATCCCAGGAGCACCGGAAGGATGAGGCGCCCCACAGGGGTGGAGTGCCAGCTCTCCTCAGCCATCAGTCGCCTCAGGAATCTGCCACACATTCTGTTATGGAGCAGAGAACAATGATGAGTGTAGGTGTGTTGCTCAATGTCCTTTAGGAGGAGCTGTAGGCCACCTCTTCACTCCTAATCCAAAGATGGGTAAGGCAAGCCTTGTTGCTCCTCTCCAAGGATCTGGCTGATCAAATACTAAGACTCTGATTGCACCTATTTATATAGTTGACGGAATCATCTATGTAAAATAATAATAGTAAGTGTGGATGTGGCTCTTTCTTCTGTCCTCTCCCCCGCTGCAGTGGAGAGGAACTCTCAGCATTGGGTAGAGACCAGGGTCTGTCTTTGTCTCTTTCCCTCCTTCCTTCCCTCTCACCCTAAATAAGCTAAATAGCAAGAGACCAGTGTCCTCTGAAAACTGATATTTCCCCAGGTGATGGCTGTCAGCTCTGGTACGGCTGCTAGCATCACCTGAACAGAAATCAGTGCTGAGCTTGGGGGGAATGTGTACAGTATTCTCTTGCTGTCTGCTTCTCTCTGGTCCCATGCCCTCAGGTGTTCACAGGAATGTCTGGCTGGCCTCTGCTCCCATTACAAAGTAAAACTGAGATGTGGTTAGGAGGCTCCATGGGAATCAAGTGAAGAGAGTGAGTGTCAAGGCTTGCTTTCATCTAATGCTCTTTAGACCTAGGAAAAAGAGAACTTTTTTTTCTTTTTCTTTATTAAGAAACACAGCAAAATGTACTAGTTAAATGTAATGGGGTGTGGGGTCAAAGCCCGAATTGACTGGGAAAAATTTTAAATTTTACTCTCCTTGCTATTGTTTCTTGGGCTCATATCTCCTTCATGGTGAGAAGTGGCCATGGTCAGGAACAGATTTCAGCAATTCCTCAATTCTCTGGACAAAATATCATCATGCTACCAGCCCAGATTGTCATCTTTGTCTTTGACCCAATTAGCAGCCTTCCTAACGCCAAGTCACCGTTTCTAATCATCACCATTAAGCCCAAACTCTTAACACACCTGGTTCTTGTCACTCTTAGAAGACCACGCAAACCTCTTATACTACAGTGAAAATAGAGACTCTTTGATATAAAACTCACAGCTACTACTTCTCTCCATAGTCACTTCCTTGTATAGCATCTTAGAAAAAGAAGTGGCCCTACACTTGTCCAAGGCTACTAGCCCTTCCAAATCTGTGTCCTTTTTGACTTCTTCAAGTTTTTGATCCCTAAATTATTTTTCCTGTAATTTAGACCACCCTTATTTACTCCCTGACTATGAACTTACTTAGGTTTCTCCCTTTTAACTATAATAAGAATAGCCTACATTTCTAAGTTAATATGGCAGCAAATGAAACATGCTTCCCAATTTTAAATGGGCAATTTTAAATGGGCATTAGTGTCATAAACTATAGATAAGAACAGGCCACATGCCAAAATTTAGGCAGAATGGTCACTTCTGTGCAATTGAAAGGGATGGATTAAGATGCTTCCAAAAGTTTCACTTGACCAGAGAAATATGTTCCCATCCACCAACTGTGAGGAACCATATTTTGAGTCATTAGAATCGAGTTTGAACCTCTGCCTGCTCCTCAGCCCCTATATTTCTACCCTCGTCATAGATTATGAAGACTCATAAGTACATCAGGCCACTGAAAATTCATTTCCAAAAAACTGGGTGAAAATTTTTAGAAGAACCGTATTTTCAGTCTCTAAAAAGATGCAAAATTGTCCTCATGAATAAAGGTGGCAAATTGAAGAGAGAGATGTATCTTCTCTCATTTCCAAGACTCCTCAAAATTCAGAATAAATGGATCTTTAAATGTATAAACCCACTACAAGCAGTGTGGGAGAAAGATCATCAGTAGCATATCTAAGATCTACTTTGGCCCTGCAGTGTGCTCGGTGGTTGAGCGTCGACCCATGCATGAAAGGTTGCTGGTTCAACATGGGGCAAGGCACATGCCCAGGTTGCCGGCTCTATCGCCAGTAGGGGGCATTCAGGAGGCAGCAGATTAATGTTTCTCTCTCATTGATGTTTTTATCTCTCTTCCCTCCTCTCTCAAAATCAATAAAAACATTTTTTAAATTAATAAAATAAATGTATTCCTTTAAAAAAACTACTTCGGAGGCAATAGGACAGATTCTGAGGAAAATCGAATTGCAGTGCTAAAAGCACATTGAGTAATTCTTCAGAATTCAGGAGAAGAGAATGAATAATTGAAAATAATAAAAGGTAACTAAAGAAACAAAATCTGTTTTCTAACTTGAACATCAAGACAACAATAAAACAAAATCACTAGCTTACTCACTGGATGAAAAAAAGTACCCAAAAAAGTATATAATGAAGTGTCTGGGGGAGAAAAACAGTTTCTTAATCAATGCTTAATTAAATTTTGTTTAGAGAGATATTGAGCTCCATAGAGAACCAAAAGGAAGGTCAAGTTCCAATGCTGGTTCTGGGTTTCTCAGCCTTGGCACTATTGACAATTTGTCCTGATAATTTTGTTTGGGGACCCTGGGGGATGCTATCCTGTGTGTTGTAAGACATTCAGCAGCGTCCCTGGCCTCTACCCAGTAGATGCCAGTAGCACACTTCTCTCCTACTCATCTCAAATGTCTCCAGATATTGCTAATTGTCCCCTGGTTAAGAACCACTGTTTATGGTAGCTCTGGTCCATCATCTCTCTACTCTTGGCTTCAGTTACCAGCTCTGTAAAGCAAGAGCATCTCAAAGAGCTTTTATTGGTTGGGACGTGATAATCTAACCATTTCCAGGCTAGTTGCAAATCCTCCCTCAACCAGCCTCATCTATGAGGAAGCCTGCAGCCCACCCCCCTCCCTCCCTGCCTCATAGTCTAGGGCAGTGGTCCTCAAACTACGGCCCGCGGGCCACATGCAAATACAAATATTGTATTTGTTCCCGTTTTGTTTTTTTACTTCAAAATAAGATATGTGCAGTGTGCATAGGAATTTGTTCATACTTTTTTTTTAAACTATCGTCCGGCCCTCCAATGGTCTGAGGGACAGTGAACTGGCCCCCTGTTTAAAAAGTTTGAGGACCCCTGGTCTAGCGGGTCCCTGCCCTGGGGAGGCATGGTGGCGCTGACTGTTTCTGCCCTGGATCTCCTGGTGAGTTTCAGACTGAGTTCTAATTTGGTAAATTCTGAAGTCTTGTGCTCAGCTCCTCATTTCCAAGTGCAAGCCCAACACTCTCAAAGGACTTCTGGCACATTCCCAGCAGAACTGCAATTTAACAGAGAGCAGGCCTGGCATATTTTAAGTATTGGGAATTTGAGTAGTTTCCAGAAACCCTGCCTCTGGTTCTTCTCTGTCCTGTGCCCACCCAGAGCCATAGCCAGACACCCAAATGTCCTCTAAGAGGTTCTAGGAACTGAACTGGGGTCTCCAGAGCTCACCACAGAGCTTTAAGGGTTTGAAAGGGAGAGCAGAAAAAGGACAAGAGGACTTGCCTGAGAACCCCTTGGCTTAGAACCTCCATATCTAGTTCTGAGTCCCCTTCTGTCCTTTGCCCCATGGCTGTTATCACCAAAACGCTTTTTCCACACACATTCTGGGGCCTCATGTTCAAACAAAATTGTGCTCCAGCTCCCAAAGTCTGTAGACCAAAGGGAGTTTCCTATAGACCTAAGACTCACACAGTCCTCCCTCCTCCCTCATCTGCTTTCCTGGAACTCTGTGAACACCCCCACCCCCCAATCTGTTCCAACCCTCCCCAGCCCACCTGTCTTATTCGCGGAGACCCACATCCTTCTATAAACGTGTCTGCAGCTCTGCCCACACGGACCAGCGTCCCCAGGCTGAACTTCAGGACCGAGGGAGCTGAGGGCTCAGCACTGCTGGCAAAGCTCAAAGCTCAGCACCACCCTGTTTCTAGGACTGGAGAAACAGTTTGCAGGTAAATTTGGGGGAGAATTGGTAGGTTCTGAGCCCTGTTAAGGTTTTAGTTGGTGGAGCAATATCTGTGAGCTCAGTAGCTGGGAGAGGGAGGGAAGCCCAGCTTGAGGGGATTTTCAAATATGTAAATAGATTTTTTAAAAATCCATCATGATTTTGGTAAGAATTTTTCCAAACATCTCTATTATTTTGGAGAAAATGTTCAGGATTCCATTGGTGGCAGAATCCATCTCAGTGAAGGTATGAGTATAGGATGTCCACTGAGGATAGTGCTGGACTGGCTCACTGCTCCCATCTCACCTCACCTGGCCTGGTAGGTCCTAGATTCTTTTAGTCGAAGTGTGGACTATGTGAAGCAGAACTGGCATCACCAGGTATGCAGAATCTCAGGCCACACCCCCCAGTTTAGCAAGTCAAATCTGAACTTTAATTATATCCCCAGGTCATTGGTGTGCACATTAGAGTTGGAGAAGGCAGTGTAGAGCCCCAGGCAGCCTCCACCACCTCTGCCCCTTAGCCCTGTGCCACCCCCAGCTGCCCCCTGCCCCAGCATGAGCACTCACCTGGCAGCTTTGAGCAAAAGCACCAACAACTGGTGACAGAAACAGCCTCAGGCTGAAGTCCACAGGGTCCCAGTTCTCCCCCAGGCCCTGCCTCCTGCCACCGCCCACTTCTCCCCCTCCCGCTTCCATTCCTGGCAGCCTAAGTGAAGGATAAAAGAATTGCAGCTGGAGGAGCAGGCTGCCCTGCTGTTAAAGAATGGGCTGTAGAGAATAACCCTCTGTTGTTGAGAGCGAGGGTATGTGTCCTAAGTGAACTGACACAGGAATTTTCAGATTATCAGAAAGAGAGCATTGACTTCAGTATGTTTCCAACATGCAGGCTTGCCGGCAACAGCAGATAGAATTTCCTTATTTATCTCAGGATGTCCTCTCCTCTTGGCTAGGAGAATTAGCACAGGCTTCCCCCCACAGCATAATGGGCATCTGCTCCATGTCCCTCAGCAACCCCAGGAGCCCAGCTCCTCTCCACCAGGCCCAGTGAGAACTGTAACACCAGCCCCCATACCCATTACTGCCAATATTGCTAGAGCCCAATCCCCTCCAAAGAATGGGAAGGGAAAGGCTG